ATTGATTCGGTTGTACCAAGTCCCTGAAAATTTTCACAGTTAATCATTCACCATCATTTATCATTTTATGTACCTGAACTCGAACCAGATCTATCGAAACAAATGAGATATCACACAAGTTTACAGTTAGAAAGTTTTTCCTTCGCGCAATTCATATCAATGTTTTCGTAGAATTTATTAAAATTATTCAAGTGTTCGTTTGGATTGTACGCTATGTTTGAACGGTGAACAACAGTAGCTGTGCGACTGACAAACATGAGAAATTTGACGAAATTGTGGTCGTATCACTTACGACTAATGCTACTAAAGCGTGCAATGGATGTCATTAATGCTTAGTTTCGAAGGATAGAAAATTGCGGTGAGACAACATAACCTTCATTGAATAACGCAAATGACTGGCATCAAATGTGGCTGGCGGTTCCATCAGAGCAACAATAACCTGCTCGAAATCACCAGATAACTCTTTTTTTAGCTCTTGTATCAAATCCTTCCCATATGTTGTTTGATATTGTTCGCGTACCTGAAGCAACCGAAAAAAGGTAGCTCGCTAATCGTAGATCCGCAAAGAAAAAGTATTTTCATTCCGCCAAAGTTGCTACTATCGCCGAAAATGTAGCGGAAATTTTCCGCTACAAGTGCCGGAGAAAGTAGCGAAAATGTTTCACCAGTTAGCAAAACGAGTCACTTTCGAGTGATCGCTCAAAATTTGCAATTGCATCACTCGTTTGTACGTAAGTTCACATTCTCCAATAATTTACAAGCTGTTGGGTCGGCAAATTGCAATCATCTGCACCGAACATATGTGCATTCATTATTATCCGAATAAATATCAATTCTATCTTTTCCCAGCGACAACAGAATTGAAGAAAACATCATTGCAACGTATTTAAAGCCAAATAGTTTAATGATCTTAGACGGAATGCTAGTGGTGTACTTATAGCAAACATTTGAGTATGATTGAATGTTTAATTTCTAAAACTTTTGAAGAGCATGAGATCGGTACGTTTGAATTTAGTACTTAACAATGATGCAGCGAAGATATTCATTTGTGAAGGATGATATTGTGATAAATCGATGATCTCTTGTTTATTGTTTACGGTTTCTTGTATGTCTCTCTATAGTGCTTTGCATATCATGTATTCTCTGACCACCACTAGCAACTCGTAATCATTGTTTCGTAATCAGCTAATCTCAATGACTATATAAGTAGCTCAGTGTGGTTATGTCAGTTTCTCTGTGTCAGTATCAGTCTCAGTACTCAGTGTCAGCGTAGTTAGTGTGTTGTTAGTGTATTCGGTATCGTCAGCCGTAGTTATTGTAGTCGCCATCATCGGCATCTTACTCAGTCGTCAGTTGTATTATCACTCAATTCAGTCATCATTATCGTCTTTATTCATTTGTGTGGATAAACTAAATTATTAATTGTCGCCTTCGCACCAGCAACACAACTAACATCACAAACAATTTGCATAACTTAATGTTGGAAAAATATGTATTCAATTGCATGCAAAAAGTTAGTGGAAGTTAACGAATGTAGCTCGCCAAAGCTAACCTTAGCGAAAAGGCACGTCGTTAAAGTGTTAAACAAAGAAAGTAGCTCAACTTATCTGTACTTTATGCCTCTAGAGAATTAATGCAGCGTAAGTTATCGCTACGAACTTCCGCTAATTGGAAAAACTAGCGCTTTATCGCGCCATGGAAAAAAACGAACGGGGTCCTCGCCGAGAACCCCGTTCCCCGACAAATTCCAACGGTTTTCTCCCCAACTTTTCAATCAGGATCCTCCACATCCACTTCGCTTCCCGATGAGGTCCCTCCTCGACGATCTTATTCCATCACTTTTTGCTCGAGGACCCCTCCATTCATTTTGTCCTCCGACGGTATCCTCCCGCAGGCCAAAAAAGCTACTCACCGATGAAGGCTAGTGTGCAGCTGTGTCGGACAAAGCAATTCGATGAAGTCAGTGGAAAATCGAGGAAGTAAATGTATTGAAAGTGAACGAAGTGACACATGAATTGATCGATTTATTAAAATGAACTCACTGCTTGTCGTTGTGCATTGTTCATGCCGGTAACAACACGACGGATTTCTTTTTGGTCACAGCCGCTACCTTTCATCGCCTTCTCCAACATGCTTGCACCGACCGCTGCATCAAATCCGCGCCGAGGAAAAATGGTACCGGAAGAACCTTGAAACGCCATTCTGCTCTTATTCTTACGTAAAATAGTTTGAACACGTCCTGAATTCATACAGAATATAAAATTCTCGTTAAAAACGTAATTTAAACCCGATCAGAGCTTCGAATGGGATGTTCTATTTAACGTTAATTATTGCGTGCCCGATACCTCAAGGGTCGGAACACCATTTTATTAATTGTTTTATGACTGGGAGACATCCTCAGCTGAATTATTCTCATGTTTTAATCCGAGAGGTCAATTTTTTCATCTATGAGGAAACATGGAAACAAATGACTACAAGTTTTAACATTTACAGATATAAGCAATGAGCTTTAGAACAGATACTAGACAAATCGAAAGCTTTATGAAGCCGTTGTATTATCCGCTTATATCTACCAGCAGTAAGACGATGAATCATAAGACATTCATCGTTGTGAGTCATCGTAATTTGAAAGAATACTAATTTTTACGAAAAATAATATGTGCAAACAAATGTGTAAAATGACCGAGTAACCATTGAAGATGACATAAATTTTTGAAAGTGCATTTGAACTGAAAGGACATTTTCGGTTTGAATGAAATGGGATGAATCATTGGATTGGTGGAGGTGGTAGCAACAATAATGATGAATCAAATGAAGAGAGGTTAAACAATTGAAAATGACACGAATGTTCGAGTTGCTGGGAAATGATCGATAATAGCGGAATGCTTAAATTATTTTCATTACAATCACTTGTCAGCGTTCATCACCAGCTTGTTTTATTTACGTAGAGCTGATTAAAAAAGTGAGCAGATGCGACAATACGAACGAACCAAACAGGTATCGTTCAGAACAAGCGCAGCGTGAAATAGGATAACTATTTCGATTCTGTCGAAAATTGATTATAAAACCAATCGTTCTCTCTAAAAACGCCACCGAATTAATGCAATACATATCTTTATGGAGCAGATTATAGTATTTTTCAGGGTTTTTCTGTGCCGAATAAATGCAATTTATCCACACTGAAGTGCGACAAACAAAATGCTGTTCAAAACTATAAATAAAAGTGGTTTAATGTACTTATTTAATGTATTAATGTCGCCAATTTTTTTTGCAAACTTTTTACTCAGTGGAGTGGTCTTTTGCAGTGATTGAGAACAATTCAATTGAGGACGAGGTCTTAAGGCATGGCGTTCTAAACGCGTCAACTTGTTCTCAACACTTATTCAATTTCCCCAGTATGTTATGTTTTGCCCGTCACGTAAATTATTCAATCGATTTTATTGCGTTTCAGTTGTAATTTGTGACAACT